TGAACATGAAGAACCTGTAAATTTGTACAGTATTATGGCAGGGCAACAAATATATCCTTTGAGTTACAAATATAGTGGTCTAAATTGCATTTAGAATGGCACAGGAATTTTGTTTCCTTTCATAACCAAAACAAATCCTGGGTAACAATTTGCAAAATAAGGTTAAATCCACTTATTCTATGAAAGTGTAAAATTATTACAGGTGACGACATAAGTTGCATCTCAAGTAACATGTGTACTCAAGGACCTGTAACAGTTTTATTATTTCTCATTCTTGGAATAGTGTTTGATTCTAAAAGAATGTATAATCTAAGCACCCATGCAGCCAAATAAAACAAATTGAGATCTCATATAGACTGATGCCCACTGGACTTAGGGGTAGCCTGATCATTTAAATATTTTTCAGCAGGTTTCAGATACATAACAATGGTCATAATTTCATCTGATTAACCATACTCTCCAGGAAAAAAAAGCAATTTCAACAGATAACCAGAGCAAGAGATTTATAAAAGCAAATAACTTTGCTGAAAAGGTAAAAACCTTGCTTATTGTGAAGATAAATAGATAAAAACATTACACTCCGCTCTTTACAGGCAACGCTGCACAAGTGCAACAATCATCCAAAATGCCCAATAGGTTACATTTAAAAGAAAGCTACCCAATTTTAAGCTTTCAAAAACTGTTAAATGTTAACTCCTTTGGACTCTTTGGTTGGAGAGATCAATAACCATGCCACTAACGGGTGCATTACTCATCTTCCATGAATTCTAACCACCTCTGGCAACAAGGATGTTGTAAATATTTTGTAGCAGGGATCCAGTGCTGCGTTTTATTCCTGAAATTTATACAGATCGGAAATCATGTAAATAAAGATAAAAAGATTTTTAAAAATTAAGGATACGCTGACATATCGGTTAGCTATTGGATTGGCACCAATAAAAGGCAAAATGATATTATTAGCGATTGCCTTTTTTGGTTGTTGTAGCCAATAATTACAGCTGTGAGCCCAGAGCACCCTGCTGAGTGTAATCTAGTTCCCATGCTCTGCTGCTGGCCCACAGCCACAGCAGACTACAGGTCTCGGTGAGCAGCAGCTGGGAGGGGGGCCGCAGGTGAGATAGATGCAAAACAAACAACAAAAAGGGTTTATTGTCAATAGTTTAAAATGCCTTGCACTATTACTAAATAGCGATTATTGGATCAGCATCAGCCAATATAGTCTATGATTAACCGACCATCGGTATTGTCACAACCCAAAGGTGTGATTTTGTTTTTGTGTGTGCTTTGGCACCACTGAATTATTTTCCCACCAATCTGTAGCTTTCTTTGCAGTGTGCATTTCTTCTTTGCAGCACAGAGATGCACGGTGCAATAATTCGAGCCCCATTATTGGCTTGTGTGAAATTATTCACACGTGGCGGCTAGTGATTGGCTTGCTAGCCGTATAAAAAGCTTGAGTGGTTTCCGCCCAAGTTGGAGGACTCCACGAACACCAGGAGGAGGAGACTTCACGTCTTGTGAAGATCTCCAAGCACTGCGGAGCCTATTGGACCCAGCGTATTTCAAGCAGGCAACAGGGGTCTGATCAGCCTCTAGCCTCTCCCCGTCACCGAGCGCAATCCTCGACGTATCCCTCTTCCCTGCGCGCAAAAAGGATCCACGGAGCTTCGACAATTCCGTGGGAGTGATCCGAGTACTGTCGGAGTCCTCAAACGAGGATTTAAGCGGAGCTTTGCCTGGGAAACTGTCCAGCCTACACCACGACCATCTTCGGTGTAAGTAAACAATCTTGAATCAACCATTACGCGTCCGTGCCTAATTCTAGCGTGTCGCCTGCTTTCTCTGACCCAGCGTGCCCGGGCTGCTGGCCACAGCCCGCGCGGTGCGAAAAAGGGCCCGGATCGCTCCTGGCCCGCACAGGTATCAGCTAAGAAAATCTTTAATTGGTGCACCCCTAAAAAAATGTCAATAGCTGTATGTCAGCATCCCATTACAAAGCTATTTAAAAAAACTACACTCCGCCCCTTTCCGCAAAAAATCCTATTACTAACATCTCAGATCAAAGCTGCCCATCTTCTGAGCAACTAGACACCACACAGGGTTGTGGGTCCACCAGGATGTGGCATCCCTCCCCCGAGTGCAAGAGCAGGAAGTGGAGCCAGGAGTTCCTAACCACAGCAGCAGGAGCAAAGGATGGGTGGAGGACAAGGAATCATCATACCAATAGTAATCTACTTTGCATCAGCATGTGCACACATTTGCAATAAATATAGTCAGTTAATATTACCTGCAGGGTTTCACTTTTTGGAGACCTAGAACATCTCTTTCTTGGAGTAGACTGAGGAGGATATTCAAACCTTAAAAAAAAAAAAAAAAGAATAAAAGAAAACTTTAGCTTATGTCATATTTATGCTGTTTAAACATGAACATTTAAGGTAAATGACACAGTAACAACTGTCCCTTCCTAACAATACTCCCACCGATATTAAACTGTTTATCAGCAGGGCCCTGAGAAAATTACAGATTTCTCATAGAAAACTCATGACACGAGCATGGGTAAAGTATCATTTTTCATTAAGTATTCACGGAACTACCACAGATCTAGACAAATGAGTCCTAGCAGTTCCGTGAATGATCTGTGAAAAATTATATTTTACCTGCACACGTGTGGCTGGTAGGCAGACACAGCCATAGGCAGCAGAAGGCTGGGGCTAATGAGGCTTAGCATCCCCACAAATGCAGGGTAGCAGAGGGCTGCAGGGCAGCCCGGGCATGGGCTCTGGCTGGCTGTAGCAGGAGCGAGGGGTGCACAAAGAGACATGGAGCCTGCAGGCAGCCAGATGGTGTGCAGACCACTGCCTACCATAGCAGGTAAGTTGGGGAAGGGGTGGGGGGGGCACATCGAGGCCCCCATAGTGAGGGAGGGAATGGGGCAGAGGCAGGGACAAGGGTGAATGGGACCCTGGGGCGGGTCGTGGGATGCTTGGAGCCTGGGTGGCTTGTCCAGGAGTGCAGGGGTGTTCCCGCTGCTGCACGCACCTCAGAAGAGGTCTGGGGCATGTGTGCCCTGGATTTGTGCATAGGGCAGGGCAGCTGCCATTCACCCCAGCCCCTGCCTCTGCCCCCCACCCCCTCCCCAACTTACCTGCTATGGTAGGCAGTGCTCTGCACACCATCTGGCTGCAATCCTAGCTGCCTGCAGGCTCCGTGTCTGGTTGTGCGTGCCCCACCCTGCTGCAGCTGCCTGCAGCCCATGCCCAGGCTGCTCTGCAGCCCTCTGTGCTGCCCCACATTTGGGGGGGATAAGCCCCATTAGTCCCGGCCTTCTGCCACCTATGCTTGTGACCCTTAAAAAAAAAATTGCATTGCGGGGCAAATTCCACGGTTTCCGCAAAGTCCACAAAAATCACAATTTTCTCGGGGCCCTATTTATAAGCCAACCACGCGTCTTCAAAACATGTAGGTGTGGAAAAAAGTCATGCTAGGGTATCAAGACAGTGCTGCAATATGTAGTTTATTTCTAAGTAGTTTAAAGATGACAGTACACTAACTGTCCAGACAATATTTTGCGCAGTAGAAATAAGTTGAAAAACGCTGTAAAAAATATTAAACAAAATTAAACATTAGCGATAGATAAATGGAAAAGTTATCCCCTCTGGACCTAATCCCACAGACCTCATTGTTCTTCACAGTTACTTACCTAAAAGAACGATCAATTATAGTTACTATATCGCCATGCTTCAGATGTATAGGTTGCTGAAAACTGCTACTGTTCAACTGGGTTGGATTTACATTACTTAAATTAGTCAATATTGCCTAAAAATGAAACAACAGTCAATTAAGTAACCTCAATAGATAAAATGATACAATGCAATTAAAATACGAATTATAATGCAATTAAAAAAAAGCCACTTACCTCCTTGTTCTCATTTACTTCTATTTTACAATGTTCTTTGGAAACCTGGGGCAGCTGGATGCGGATGTCACACTCTGTTTTTCTTTGGGTGAAAAGTACAAATATAGTTTTAAGGATTAAGAGAACAAAGCACTTGGTTGTTCTTCAAAATTCACTACTGAGCTACATACATGATCATTTAATAATATTTGTGACTGCATGGTGCTCTAAAGAAAGCAATAGAAAAATGTTTAAGTTAACACAAGCACTGAGGAGCCAAGTTAAAAATTCTCTTCTAAATAAAATCCCAAACCCATTAAATTAGATTCTCCCTAGTGGAGTTTCAAGCAAATATAAAGTCAAACATGTACCTGCAAGCTGTACACATCTGTCAAATTTCGGAAAATCACTGCAAAAGCATGGCTGCCCGCGCCCCCCCCAAAAAAAGCGCGCGCCCCCCCCCCCCCCCCCCCCCCAAGTCAAATGTAGACAAGCTCTAGCACAAGCCATTTTTCAATCAAGTGTTACACTCCAGTAATTTAACAGATTTAGTGAATTATATTCAATTTTTGATTTCGAATAAACATATATGCTTTCCATTAAGCATTTATTTAAGAACTTAACACTAGCATTTACTTTCCTCGAGTATAAGCAAAAAGGAAGCAACACACTAGATCAGTGATGAGCAATTATTTTGGCTGGAGGGCTGCTTAACAAGTTCTGGTGAACTGTTGAGGGCTAGAAGCACTGAACAGAAACAAGGACAGAAACTATTACCAGCCTTTTTGCAGACACACATTTTGTGCATCTGTGGTGTGACTAGGGGTATACACGCCTTTTTCCACTCTGAGAAGCAGCTACATCAGGCAGTAAGAGCAACTGCAGCAGGAGTTAAACAGTTTATGTCTCCACTACTTATTTTAAACAGTAAGTGTTCAAATGATAAAATGAACCCAAAAGCCATTAATAAAGACAACGCCAATAAATCTCAAGGCACAAATACACAAGTAATATTGCCAATTCTTACCTTCCAAATAAACAAGAATTTGCAGTGAGTGGAAAGTGAATTCCATCCGCCCCATTCCGCTTAATAACAACAATTTTCCCAAAGAGAGGCATCTTCAAAACTGGAGGTCTTACCTGTAAAGATAAAAGTGGTATTTCAAATAAAGCTGGACATATTTATTAAAATAACAAATACAGGGTGCAGACCTCTCTCTCTACAAATGATAAGCAGAGATTTCAAAAGGGTTATTTTGTTTGGATTTCTGTGCAGGTGTATGCAGTCTTTTATCCATTAAAAAAAACATAAACTGCTGAACAAGGCTCAGTGCAGGAAGTGAGGGCACCACATAGGTATATAAAAATAAACAAACAAACAAGAAAAATCACTCGGGCAGGGGCAGCAGTAGACATCACAGGTTCATATTAAAAAAAATGTTTTGATGGCAGCTGCAAAGCAGACAGGGTGGATAAAAATCAATGATTTTTTAAAACAAAACAAAACAAAAATCAGACTTTTAAAAATTTAAAACCAGATGTTTTTGATGTAATCATATTAATTTTGTATTAAGATGCTTTTTAAAAAAAATAAAGTTATATAAAGATAGTTTTAACTTAAAATATGCTGGAGCTAAAAGATATCATCATGGGATACGGATAATAACTTCTAACTATATACTATTTGAGACAATATATTCATGTAACTTTTTTAGAAAAGTTTTATAGATAGGTCACAACAGGCCATGGACTATATTAGGGGCCCAATCTTATGGGGTTTCCAAAGGCTCCTCTATAGATTAGTAAATATTAAAGAAAACCACTTTACCCAACAGGACTCAGAGCTCAGTCTAGAATAGGGGTTGTCAACCAGGGGCATGCATACCCCCAGAGGTACTTGAGAAGGCCCATTGGCAGCAGTTCCCAAACTGACAGATTGTGCACCACCAATTTAAAACAATACAGCCTTAAGTACCACCAGCAAATCTTTGTCATAAGTAATTATAATAAATCTGTAGTAGACACGTACCAATGACAGGCTGCCTGCGTACCAGTGGTGGTACATGTACCAGATTGGGAATCGCTGCCCTAGCGGGTAGGCACAGGCTGGTGGCGATGGAGTGCTGCCACACATCATCCCGCACTGCTGCGCAGGCATCACCCACCCAGCTGGACACAGGGGAAGCTCGCATGCGGAAGCTGCGCGCCCCCCTCTACCCCTGCCCCAGCTGCCAGGAATACACTGCTCCACGTCCAGCTGCCAGGGGTACTGATCCAAAAAGGTTGAAAACCCCTGGTCTAGAAGATCCCATTAAGCATCTCTGTGATGCTTAGTTTCAGTTCTCAAACTGTGGATTTGTCTCCAGAGAAAACATCCTTGTTAAGGGCAGTACATGGTGATGAGAGCTAACAGACCTGATTACCTACCCATCACCCCTCTTGTTTCTATAAGTTGCATACACAAAGTCAAGCCCTTACCTCTCTCTAGAAGTGCAGTTTCAAGAAGTTAAATGAATAGGGCAGCAGTTCCCAATCTGTGGTACAGGTACCACCAGTGGTATGCAGACAACCTGTCACTGGTACATGTTAACAGATTTATGATAATTACTTTATTTAACAAAAATTTGCTGGTGGTTCTTAAGGTTGAACTGAAAAATTTGCTGGTGGTACTTAAGGCTGCATCATTTTAAACTGGTGGTGCTTGCTCTGTCAGTTTGGGAACTGCTGCAACAGAGAATTGTTGGGGATGGAGTAGATCTGGGCAAGGAGTAGTCTGGACATAAACTAAGGAGGGACGGGCAATAGAAACAAAAGAAACGTTTTCAGTAGAACGCTCCAGAAGACTTGAGGGATACATTTCTGAGTATATCCTCCCCCTTTATTTAAGATCTAGTGAGGGAATGGCATGGTAGAAGGGAAAGCCTAACAGGGCAGCAGGCTTAGCAGAAGATAAAGAGAGACCCTCTTGGGGGATATTCTAACGAAGGTCATATCAAACTGGCAGATAAGGTTCTTTGGGAAACTCCAGGTGGTCGAGGAGCCCAACTCCAGTTGGTCTAACAAAAGATATCGGATTTACACAAAGAACCTAGTCTGCCTTGGTCCTTAGACCAACACCTCTACAACCTACGCTCCCGAACACAGAAACAACGAGTGCACTTTTTGTCGAAAACAAAGATGAAACCGAAGGTTCCTGACCAGTGATTTAAATCGAATCCACCCCGAAGGCACCCAAGCTTCCCCAGGCCTCCCACCAGCCCACACTACGTCACAGCTAGGCGATGATGACGCAATCCCGCTGGCAAAAAGCGGCGGCTGAAGCCGGGGTCTGGCAGCGCCGATGCCCAGGACCCCGCCGCGAGGGGCCAGCTCTTGCACACGACACGCACGACTCCCCGAGGCGACGGGACACAACACCAGCCCGGGGCGGGGAGAAGCCTCCTCAGCCCACCGGCTCC